GAGGTGGCCTGGCCCACACGTGGAGGAGGGCAGGGCAGCCTGGCCTGCAGGCCCAGTGTGTTTAGAGGCGTCCTCTCCTCTCTGGTCAGTGTCCTCTTCCTGCCCACCCATCCCATTGTTGCCGGGCCCTGGAGTGTCTGCTGGGAGCACTCCCTAAGTGTAAACAGGACACACTGGGAAGATGCCCCCCTCCCCCCTGGCCTTCTGGCCTCTGGGCACAACTGGGACGCTTGGGCACCTGCCTTGCTCAGCCCCAGCTGGGGCCCCAGGGGCTGGCGGCCTGGGTTTGCTCTGGTGGCAGGACCCCTGTGCTCCCTCCCCTGTACCTGCCCCACCCTCTTCTCAAAGCTCCCCTGACCATGCCCATACCTTTCCCTGGCTGACCAGTGCCCCCTCCCCCTGGTGGGTTCCCCCCTCCACAGTGCTGGGGCCTTTGGGGTGCAGTCTGCAGTGGACAGCCAACGTGCTGCCTCCTGCCCTCCCTCCCTCCTTCCTTCCGGCCGAGCTCCCACCCTCTCCTCCCTCCCCGCCCCCAACTTCCTGCTGGGAGAGCAGACCGAGAGTCCAGCCAGGACTTTTTCCGCCTGCCCGGCGGCAGCCTCAGGCCATGGTGCATACTTCCTCTCTGCTGGCCCTGCGCCCTCCACGGTGGGCACTACTGGAGGTCCTCTGCCCCCTCAAAAAGGGGCACCAGAGGTGGTCTGGCAGGCTGCCCCCAAGATGAGACCCGGATTCCTCAGGTCCAGGAGGGTGGAGGATATAGGAGTGACTATACTGCCGCCCACCCCTACCCGCCAGGCCAGGGAGAAAGAGGTACAGCTCTTGGGACCGGCCTGGCCCATCTCTGAACACCGGTGAGGTCTGGGCCTCAGCCCGCCGCTGTCCTCTCTGGACCAGGCTGGAAGGGGCTGGAGCCAGCCCTGGCCCTGTGCCAACCCTCTGTGTGGGTCAGTGTTGTCAGGGGTCATCACGCTGGTTCTGACGCATAAGGACCCAGGCACAGGGGACAGAAACTGCCTGCCCTGCGCCACCCTCACAGTTTGCCCCCATGCCCGAGCCCCTGGCTGCAGCCCGGTCCTCATCCATCTCCTCAAGGAGCCCTCTCTTTCTCGCTGCCCCTCCACTTGACCGAGTGTGGGTCCTTCTCCAGGGACGGGCCTCTCCTGACAAGACGTCCAAAGCACGCGTGAGACAAAGTCTCACCATCCTTGCTTCTTGGCAGCACCGGGTTGTGCTTCGTCTGAGACGGATCCGTCTGTCCTCCTCGCTGCCCTGCGGGCACGTGAGGGCTGTGTTCTTTGCCAGCCTTGGGGCACAAACGCATCACCCCCACCCCCACCCCGTGGTCTTCGTTGTTCCTTGCCCGCTTTCTTGTGCAAATGAGGTGATTGAAAACACCGAGGCTTGAGTCAGGCCCACCTTAGTCTTCAAAGGGACGCCTGTGCCCCGGAAGCCCTTCCACGAGACTTGCTGTGTGTGGTGTGAGCCCTTGGCGGGGGTCGGGGATCCGGGTCGAACGAAACCCTTGCCCACTTCCGTCTTTCTTCTGCCGACCAAGAATGGTGTTGCGTAGTGCCCGTGGTGAGGGTTGTGTTTTCTTGACGTTTTTCGGCCATCCATCCTGGAGGCTGCCATCCTGGGCCTTCGTCCGTAAGTGCTTCACCTTTTGGCTCTCAGTAAGCCAGGGGCCACCTGCACATGGCAGGTTCTGCATCAGCCTTCCTCCGCTCCTGATGCTGGCTCTTCTAATAGCCCAGCTTCTTGGACTGGCCTGTCTGCATTTGGCAGGTGATGGGACCGGGCATGGAAAGAGAAGAGGGTGACTGAGGGACCCCTCACCTAAGGGATGATGTTGTGTTGGGTGCTGGGTCCTGCTGGCGCGGCTGGCAGGAGCCCTGCTGGTTGTCCGGCCGAGGGGCAGCTGGAGATGGCTGTGAGGTTGTGACCGAGGCCCCTCTCACGCCTCCTCAAGCCTTTGTGTCATTGTGCGCCACAGGGGCTGGAGGGTGGAGCTTCTTCGAAGGGTGGCATCAGATCCAGGGCACGCAGGCATAAGCCCTCATGCGCACCCTGACTTGGTGTCTACCACTCCCCGTTTGGGGATTTCTCCTGGACCTGGGGACCTCCCTCTAGGCTCTAAGTGCTGGATGCCCACATGTGGATTCCGCCTGTCCCTGTGCTGAGAGTTTAATGATGGCCAATAGAGCTGAGTTGCAATCCCACCCCCCACCAACAGGCGCCGCCTCTCTGTGGTTTGGAAATTCCATAGGTTTGCCTCTGCCTGTTGCGTGCACTGCTTGATTCCCCACTTTGGGGCTGTGGAGATTGTAAACGGTTCACAACGAAGCTACCTTGCAGGTGGAGGTGAGCCCAGGCCACCCACCCGATTGCAGGCCTTTCTGTCGGGCTATGTTGGATCTGAGAGTGGCAGCCCATCCTGTTGGCACCGCAGGAGTCACCCTGATGGACTGGGGCCCCTCAGGGCCTCCGTTAATGCGTCCCATGACCTGGGGGGCTTGGTGGGGGTGGGGCTTCCAGTGCCCTCACGTGCATCTCTCCTAGACTCGGAATCAAATGGACTTGGCGGCCGCTGGCTGGGGCCTGGGCACGTGGCTGTGGAGGACTTGGCCCCTCACTGTTGGCCTCTGCGGGGACCTACTCTGAGGCTCTCACTGCCCCCCACCCCCATATCAGTCAGTAGGATCCCCGGGTGTCCTGTGCCTGTGGAGGGTCGCTCCCTTGTCCTGCTCAGGGTCTCGGCAGCCGGGGGGAAGGATGAGGCCCAGCTGTCCCCCTGAAGGCCCTGAGCTCCCCCTGCAGTGGCCGAGGAGCCTGGGTGGTGGTGGGGGGAGGGGTCTTCTGTTGCTGGTCAGTTGTAAGCACTCAGACCCTCCGTTTCCCCATCTGGGAGCCACCAGCGGCCTCATATTTCTGACTGCTGCCTCGGCCCAGCCAGGCCGGTGGCAGGCCTTCTGTGGGCTGCCTGGGGCTCGATCTCTCCTTCCTGCCCCCCCAATGTCTGCAGTCTCGGGGAGGGGAGCCCTGTGACTTGGCTCAGCTTGTGGTCCATGGGGAGAAGTGGGGAGGGGTCAGGGCTGTGCATAGCACAGTCCCCTGGTGTGTGAGGGCTGGGGGGACAGGGGTGGGGGCTGACCCATGGGTCTGTGGGGCATGGGGATGGGGGCTGACCTGCGGGCTGTGGGGGCCGGGGTAGGGATGGGGGCCGACCCGGGGGCCGTGGCCTCAACCCTGACACTGTCCTCTGCTCTCTTGCCTTGCAGACTTCTCCACCCAGGTGAACCCCTCGTCTCTCGGCACCCCAGCGGGCCGTGGGCCCATGGCGGCGTCCTCTCTGCACCCACCCTTGGGGCCGGCTGTCGGCTCCTCCCTGGGCTCCCCCGGCCAGCTGCACTCGCCCATCAGCACCCTGAGTTCCCCCATCAACGGCATGGGCCCCCCCTTCTCGGTCATCAGCTCTCCCATGGGCCCCCACTCCCTGACAGTGCCCCCTGCACCTGCCCTGGGCTTTGGTGCAGGCAGCCCCCAGGTGAGTGCACTGGCCGTCCGTGGGGTGTGGGTGTGGGGGTGGGGGCGAGCTCTGCTATGGAGCCAGAGGGCTGCTTTCTGGCGGGCGGGCCGCGTGTAGCCTCTGGGCTTCAGCAATTTGCCTTGGGAACTTGAAGTTCCCCATATTCATGGGAGTGTGGGTGGAGTCCAGGGGCGATGTGCCCCCCCCCACCCCCAAACCACAACCGCAAACTTCGACTTGCCGAAACCACAGGATTCTCTGAGCCAGGGGGCCTGGCGCCCTGCCGGGCTTGGCCTGCCGGCCCTTATGGCCGGGGCAGTGTGGGCATCGCTGGGCGGGCAGATGGAAGCTGGCCGGCGTCCTGGGCCAGGCAGGCTGTCTTGTGCCCTCTGGCCTGGGTGTGCCTGCAGCTCCCACACGTGTGGCCGGGCAGTGGTGCCTGCTGGGACCGGGCATCCACCTCACTGAGTGCCACAGGGCAGTCTCAGACAGCTGCCAGGCCGTCCGCCTGCCCCCAGCACCTCCCCGCCTGGGCAGCGGCACCATCAGCGGGCAGTGGGGAGGAAGGGTGTGGTGGGCCTGGCGGGAGCAGCCGAGGTGGGCCCAGGAGGCCGGGCAGGAACTGAAATGAGTGGCAAGGGGAAATGGATGCCCTCCCGCCCTCCTCCAGCACATCGTGGTTCCCTAGGAGTGGTCTGGGGGAGGCCTGGCTGTGGGTCCCTGAGGTTGGCGCATGGCGTGGGCAGGGTAGGAGGCCCAGGGCACCCTGCTCTGGCTGGCAGCCTTGAGCCGGGCCTGTTCTCCTGGTGACCGCTGGAGCCAGACCAGCCAAGTGGGGGGCCGGCTTGAGGGAGGTCGTGGGTCAGCAGCGTCTGTAGGGTGAGGGCGAGGCTCTGCCATGGCACCGAAGTGCAGGAGAGCTGGTAACTGCCCTGCCCTGCTTCTTGGGCACCGTCTCTGCTGGGGCCTTCAGTTGCTGACCTCGAGGCCCGGCCTCTGCCTCAGGGCAAGTGCCAAACCCAGGGCTGCCCTGGCTCAGGGCAGGGAGATGGGGCGAGGGCCTCCATCCCCGGCATGGTTTGGGGCAGCCAAGAAAGAGGAAATGGGGAGCCCCCCACTCTGCTGCAGCCAAGCCTGGCCACCCAGAGAAGACAGGTGGGCCCAGACTCACCTTCTCTGCGGTGCGGTGCTCCTTGCCCCGGCCCTCTCTGACCCAGCCTCCCCCCACCCGCACCCCCCACAGATGTCAGCTGGGGCAGCCCTCTGCCTGGGGTCCCCTGTCTGGCCCTGCAGGCCACCCGGGAAGCCCTCTGCCTGGAGCAGGTGTGGACTGCAGCCTTCCAGGCTCCTCCCAGGTGGCCCTGCAGGGGCTGTGGGCCAGGCTGTGTGCGCAGCCAGGCCCCGGTAGCTTACAGATGGGAGACTCAAGGTCAGAGCCCATAGGCAACCCCCGGTGGGGAGGGCCATCTCCCTGGGAGATACTGGGCTAGGGTGCAGGGCTCATGGCCCCTTGTCTGGGCTTTTGGGCTATTTGCATGTGGCTCTTGGCGGACAATGGGTGAGGTCAGGACCTGGGGGCTGTGTCCTTCTCCCTAAGTGGTTCTGGGCAGGTCCCGCCCTGCCTTCTGCCTTGGTTTCCCCCTTGGTCCTGTGACTGCCTGCACTCCTCTGTTCCTAGTCCGCAAAGCCTGATGCCCTCTGCCTCTGCCAGTCCTAGCCTCGGCCTCCCTGTCCAGGAGATGGGAAGAGTGCGCGAGTCCAGGTTCACAGGCAGTGAGGGTCAGGGGCCTGCCTCCACTGGCTTGGTCTCCCCCAGCACCAGGGCGGGGTGTGAGGGGCACAGAGGCGCCCCTCCTGAGCCGAACCTCAGTCCAGGCCCTGGCCACACTCATGGCAGCACCCCTGCCTGGGCACCAGCCCCATCCCCCCCCACCCCCGGTCCCCCAGGCTCCTTCCAGGCAC